TCTACAATTCCCTGTCTGCTTTCCCTGTCTTTTTTCCTTCTTATGAATGTTTAAAACAAAAGAGAGTGAGCTGGTGCTAGTGAATGTCCTGGGGAAATCAGACAAAAATGTGACCAACTTCAGGCTGCAGTTATAAACCAGCTCTTATTCAAATTTACAAAAACCATGGACCCTGGGGCTTTCAGTAGCTGTGGTTCTGCAAGTTTGATGGACAAACCTTTATTTTACAGTTCATAAAGCAAAGCTTAACAACGCTTCCTTCCTAATGCCATCCAAAGCTCCTGCTCATTGTAAATTTAAAAAGAAGCTTATTGAAAGCAGAACCAGCATAAATACTGGAGGTAGATCCATTACATTTCATGATACAGTTATTTGGTGGTAGTTCACTCCTCCTGTTCAAGGATAATAAAAGGGAAAATGTCCCCATGACATTCAGTGGCAGAAATGTCATTGCTGAAGTGCCTATGATGTGCAATTAACATTTTTAAGGATTCATTTAAGCGGATACTGTCACGGCTGATAGATCTGAGATTACACCAACTATCCAAGTTTGGATTTCTGCCTAATTCAGCATCTCACTAGAAATTTCACCCTCGCACTTCTGGATATTTATATTTTTCTTTCTCCTATGTCTATAAAAAAATTGTTCATTTTATAGATTTATCATTTTATGATTTATCATTCAAGGCCAGGCTGGATGGGACTTGGAGGAACTGGTCTAATGGAAGGTGTCCCTGGGCATGGTGAGGGGTTGGAACTGGATGATCTTTAAGGTCCCTTCCAACCCAAACCATTCGAGGATTCTCTGACTTCTCCCCCACTCCATCACTGATGTTGTATCACAGTCAGAGCTTCTATCCAAACAAAAAAACCTTTTCCTTTTCCCAGTGTTCTGCTTTCCACAAACAAGTTGTATTTTCACAATGAAAACCACTTTGTTTTGAAGAGAAGAGTCAGCTGTGGGGCAAGAGCTGTTTGGTGTTAGGGTGGATTAATAAAGAAGTCACTGTGCATTGTGAATGAAGGCACTGCACGAGCAGGATGGAGATTTCAGGTCTGGACTCAGAGTTTATGAGGAGAAATCCTGGATCTTTGTTCCTTGGCATTCATACCCCACCCTGCTGTTTGACAGAATGAAAAGGCAGGGAAATACAGAAGATATCTCCACAGCAGAAAATCTGTCCTGAAGCAAAATGTTTACTGAAGTTTGTAGGAGGCTGCAGCTCCCTTTGGAGATTCCCCTGGACGTGAGAGAGATTCCCAGAGAGCCTGTGCTGGCAGTGGCAGCAGGGTGTCCTCAGCAGCTCAAGGGGAGACACGATGCTAATGCTGAACGGGAGAAATGCAAGTACCTCCTCGACTGAAAACACTGACAGACACACTGTGAGAGGCTGGAAGTGATGGACCTGACATCTGTGCTCCTGTCCAGATCAGGCCTTCCCCTGCAGCACCTCAATTAGAAATCTGCCATGTCTAATTTGCTGGGAAACCTCAGTTTCAAACGTGCTAAATCAGGCAAGGCAAGAAAACACAATGGGCTTGGATGAGGCTTTTGAGAGATGTGCTTTACAGAGGTGACTCTTCCATTGCTAGAAAAACAATTTCATTTCCACCTGGCTCCCAGGAAGCGTGCAGGAGTGCTGGGGGGAACCTCAGGCTCCATGAGAGCAGAATACTCTTTAAACAACAGCAAGATTTTTATTGCAGAAAGCAATAAACAAGAGCCTAGCACAGAATCCCTCCATGCAGCACAGTTACACATTTGCCTCACTGCCCAGAGCAAAGATTTCAAACTCTGCTGTGATTTTTTTCCAAGCAATCACTGCTGCCTTTTTATGCCCTTCTTGCTGTGCCTTTTTGCACTGGGTGAGTCAAAACAGGTTTCTATGTAATTACACAAATGACATTCAGAGGACACTGTCCAAAAAAGAAAAAAGATTCTAAAGAACACGAGCTTTCCCTTTGTTATTGAAATCTTCATCAGTATCATCACCACCCCTGCTCTGAGCTGACTTTGAACACTTTGTTTGATCACAGGGAGGACTGGACTGATGCAAGTCCAGCTTCCCAAGGCTCTGGGGAAATGCAAAGCCAAAATCAGAAGCTCCTATGGATCTCTCAGTTGTATTTACACCTTTGCCTGCACGTTAAGGAATTTTCTTGTGCTTGTGAATTGTTCCTGCAGAGAACAGCAGCAGCAGGGACTCCACAGCTGTGTGAATGTCACTGAGAGACAACTCCTGCAGACCAGCATTGGATATCTGTCAGCCCAGGCTGTGCTCTGCTCCTGAGCTGCCAGTGGCAAACACAACTGGAGGCAGAGAAACCCCAGGGTGATCTCATGGCCTCTGCTCTGACACGGCAGCCTGGAGATAGGAAAAGGCTAAACGGGGCAAGGATGATGACAGCCAGGCAGAAAACATTAACAGCACCAACATAAAGGGGTTTGCTCCTTGCAGCCTCCTCCCATCTCAGACCCAGCTCCATGCAGTTTGGTTTTCCTGGGGTAGCAACCTGTCAGCTGCCAGGCCTTCAGATCCAGTCCCAAAGGAGAGAATCGTGGCCACTGTTCCCCTCAGCGTGCAGTGCTGTCCTTTAAACACAGAAACCAGAGCGTGCAGGAAATGATCCAGCTCTTAAAATCTGTGTCAACAACTCTCCAAGCCCCTGGAGCTGCACAGTGAGCACTGCTAACCATTCTCCTGGGCCTGAGGAATCAGAGTGATGGCAGCCCTGACCCACACTCGTGGGACACTTTGGTCCTGACCCTCCTTTGGCTCCAGTCATTGTTCTGCTGTTGATTTTGATGGCAGTGGGGCCCTGTTGCAGTGTCACCTCTCCTGTGCCCTCAGGCGCTCTCTCCAGCAGCACTGTCAGCTTCGGGAAGGCAGGACAGTTTAAAGTATTTTCTGAAGCCCAAGGCAAGCCAAGAGATGACCTTTCCCACCAGCAGAGAGCTGCTCACAGGCTGCTATTGAATATTCCACCCACTGTAATGCTCTGCTCCCACAGATGAGCTGGCTGCTCTGCCAGGGATGCCTTTTCCTCCTGCTGTCCCTCTCCTCACCCCAAATCACTGAACTGGGCTCTCAGTGTGCTCCACACCTTTGTTCCTGCCTCACCTGGCACCAGCCCTGTGCTATGGCATCTCTTGTCCCCAGGACACAGGAACTCCTTCTCTGCCTGGGGATTCTTCCAACAGACACAAAAACTTCCCCTTCCAGGCACTTCTAAAGTTCTGGCTAATGCAGAGATAAAACCTCTGCAGGGTAATGGGACATTAAAAGCTGAATTTCCAGGAGAGCTCCCCAAGCCAGCACAGCACACAGGGACCTGGCAGACACAGTTTGTACCAGAGACAGAGAGAGCATCCTCCATTCTACACGGCACAATCTTCAGGGGCTCTTACACATTCCAGACATGCTCATAGCTGCATGACATTCAATCAAAAGACTTTTTGCAAGTGGACAAATATTTTCTTAATAATTTTTAGCAGAATTGCAAACTCTTCCAAGAATTGCTCTTCGCTAGGAAGTTGGCTGTTATTTTTACAGATAGGGTATCTGTGCTATCCAGTTATTTCTATAAAGAGACTTGGCCTTTAGGACTAATTTAAAGGGTTTCCCAAAGCAGATGGAGCTTTTTGAATATAGAAAAAGGGATTTACAGGATTACCAAGCTCCAAGTATTCAAATATAAAGACAAAATTATGCCTTAGGCAAGTAAGAAATGCTCTAGGCTATCAAAGATTGTCTCTTCATCCTCAGTAGATGACACCCAGTGTAAAATGGCATTATTTCCTGACATCAGTAGATCTTTATTCAATTCCTCTTGCTGATGATGTGGTTCACAGATCATGAGCAAGACACTAAATGTCTTGGTGAAGAGCACAGAGAAAGGGAGGAGAAAAAGCAGAGAATGTCTAAACTGGCTGTATTAAATTATTGTACAGCACTCCCATGTGCTACCTGTGCCAGCAGACACAAAAAAAAGGAGCTTCTGGAATCACTGATGTAATTTACTGGCAAGCACAAAACCATCTGTGACAAGCCAAAGGCTGAGGACATGGAAGTTGTGAATGAAATGCTGTGTGTGTGTAGAGTGGGAAGCGACACAGACACAAGCAAACAGGCTGGACAGGCTGAATTTGTCAAGCTGAGATTGTATCTGCTCCCCTTCCAGTTCTCAAATTATCCATCAGGTTTGTGTTATCCCCTGCTAGCCAAGCTCCTGTGACACTGAGCACACAGCCTGGGTCCCTTCCAGGCAGGGGAGCACGGCCAAGGGGGATCCAGATCTTTTATTTACATGATAAACTCCCTCCCTCCTTCACTGCCCCTTCCTCTCTCCCTCCTCCCAAGCTCTGGAGCCTGGGATGAGCCAGGCAGCTCCATCAGCTCCTGGAAGGTGCTCGTGGTGCTCCAAAGCCCTTTGTGGGGTCATGATCTCACACCAGGCATTTGTCTCCCCTGGCCTCCTATTGAGCCTGTCACAAGAAATGGCTCAATGCAAGAAAAACAAGAGCTCCTTAAAAACGTATTGGCACATCTGAGCTGAACTTCCTCGGGTGAAGAAGTCATAAAAAACAGCTCTGCTGTGAACTTTGAAGTATCAATTTGTTAAAGAGGCAGTGATTTCCCTCTCTGAACAATGCTCTTGGTGGTGTGGAGCCCTGCAAAGGCAAATGATGTGGGCTGGAAACATTTTCAGAGGTATTGAGATGAAAGACTGGGCGATGCACAACGTTTCAAAAACAAATGAAGGCTGCCCAAATAGCTGCTCCCCGGCAAGCTGAAGTTACACTTTAAATCCTGGCACTGTATTTATCAATATTTCCATTCCCAGCCGCATTTCCTGACATTTATGCCAAAAGAAAATTCTGCAAAAGGTCAGCACAGGACTCAAGTGTTATTAAGTGTGTGATCTAACAAAGGAGCAGATGACTTTCACTCACGCCTGCCTGCTCATTCTGTGAACTCACAGCAGATCCTGACCACTTCCCCAGACCCAAACAAAGATCCCTCCTGGCTGACATCACCCCGTGCAGGAGTCAGCACTTGAAATGCCAAAGCAGGCCTGAATTCAGGCTTAGGCTTTGTCTCCCTTCTCTGGGACCCTGGCACAGCGCTGTCCTAAGCGGTGCTGCACACACTGAAAAGGGAGACTTGGGGACCACACTCAACTAAACAAACAACAACTGTGAAAGGATGTCTATTAGTTCCACTGATAACTGAAAAATGAGTTGTTCTGGATCCCAGCACAGACCTGCAGAAGCTCCAAAAGCTCCAGCCCCCAGTGCCGTGCCTGGATTGGGAGGGCAGCCCCTCGTCACCCCCAAAGGAGTGAGCACAGGAAATCTGGGCTGAACCTTCTCCATCCCTCTCCGGGGCTTTGCTGCAAGACTGCACTTGCACTTCCTTTTCCACAAGTACATTTCATTTCATTTTTCCCACATTGCTTCTCAGACTTTTGGGAAATTCCATAATACCACACCAAAAGCTCCCAGTAGCAGGCAGAATTGCTTTTATTGCTGTTTAACACAGTGCTGAGTTTAAATGGCTAATGTATATGCCTCTCTCACACATGAATACAAACTGCTGCAGAGCAAAACTTTATTTTATCAAATTAAAATGCACTATAGCACGAATTTATTGTGTCTTTGCTCATAAGTGGTTTTATGCATTTGATTTTTTTTTTTTGTCTTTTAGGGTTTTGGCAGTAGATGGAAAGCAATCAAAGTCCCATTTGAAGCAGCCATGTAAGCAATTCTCATTTACAGAAGACAATGAAAAATTAATCTAAAATGAGTGTAACTAAGTTTTCATAGAAACAACAAAGCCACTCAGACATTATCATTTTCAACAGCTGTTTACTGTCTTCATCCACAAAATCACCTGTCAAATTTTACTATTGCCTCCAGAGGGGAAAAAAGCCAACCCCAAGCGCCTCTGTGAGTTAATAAAATGCTCCACTTGTAACACAGCTATTGAGGCTCCCTTTCCTTCAATTCTAACACTTAGCAGGCGTGATTGAGGTGATGTTCAACACCCCCTCTCCTGCAGGTTTGAATTCTACATGTTTAACTACAGGGGAGAAAATAAAGCTGGGTGTTTTCCTCTCTGTCCTGCTCCGTGGAACATCTGCCTCCTGTGCCAAGGGGCAAAGCAACATCTGTCACTGCTGGGAAGCTGCAGAACACAGCTCCCTCCACGTGAAACACAAACACTTGAAGGAAGGACAAGAGGGACGGCAGCAGAATGGAGAATTGTTCTTGGGAATGGGGATTCCAGCAGCAGTTTGTGTCAGAGGGGAGTTGGGGAGGAATTTGTTTAGCTGGCAGAGCACATGGAGCTGGTTAATTCCACACAATGTGTGCGATGGGAAGGGTGCCAAACAAACATCAGAAGGAAACCAAAGGGTTCAGGGGCCGTGCTGCTGGCAGTTGTGATCCCCTGGCATGGGAACCACCAGGGACAGCCCAGCCTTCTGCTGATGGGGCTGACCCAGGAGAGACAAACACATGGCAGCTCGATTAACTGTCCTTCACATGCAGATCCTCAGCCTGAATGCTCTCAAAGGCTGTCTCGAGTGCTGCTGCTGTCCCTAATTTCAGATTTAGGAGAGGGGAAGGAGTTAATTATTGAAGGGCAGCTACGGGGAGTGGGATGCACAGCTCCTATTGACTTCCTTAATGGTGGTAAAATGTGCAAATCCTGCGGACTGTAGCTGAATTTAAATTACAATGATTACAAAATATAAAGCCTAAAAAAGAGGATTTATACATGAGCAGATTTAGCCGAGACACAGACTCCCTCAAGACCTACATTTTGTTTACATGCAAAGCAGACTGCGCCTCCTGAATGCCTAAATCCTGACGACAATTATTTATATATCTCAGCACCCTCCTAAGGCAGCTCTGAGCCATCATTCCTGCTGCTAAATGCCCTGGGGAATATCTAGTGCTTAGAGGTTCATCCCTGTTTTCTGGCCACGGTCCAGCAAACCACTTTCAATGTGTAAACAGCCCTGCTGCACACATGATGCACAAAGTCCATAAGGACACGATGCTTAAACAGATCCATAACATCCACAACAGCAGCAATACATTTCTCCTGCTGCCTTCAGACAGAATGTTCATGCCCAGCTCTCAGGAGTACAGAACTATTAACCTATTTCGTGTTATCCGAGCTGGGGGATGGATAAATGAAGTGACTTGCCCAAGGTCGTGCAGGAGTTCATGGGAGAAACGAGGACACGAACAATACACCCATGGTTCAACTGAGTCCTGAGGAGCTTGCAGGGCTCTGCCCACTGCGTGAGGGAGGCTTTGAGTGCTCTGACATTGCTAGAAAGGAAACCAGCCAGTTATACAGTAGGAATGAAATATTTTATAAATGATTTGTGTCTACTCTCATGTTAACCAGTCCAGGTCCACCTCATCCAGAAAGTCCAGTGACTATTTAATTCATGTTAAAGCTAAGAAATCATCAGGAATCAACTTGAACATGAGCCATTTCATTAAAAACAATCAACATATAGTTACTTATAATGGAATAAAAAAAAATGCAGTGCCATGTTTAACCAAAAAGCAGCAGCCACTGTTCAGCACATCCCTGCCTTTCCCTGCAGCCCCATGGAGAGCAGCTCCCTGCATTTCCTGGCTTTCTCCATCTCAGTCTGTACACAATTTTAAAGCAGGAGGTCCCCTATTATGGATGCTACCATTTGACACCTCACTTTTTGGCTCTATTTTAAGAAATGTACTTTGCTTTCAAGTTGAAGTCTGTTGCACGATTCTCGTTGGGATGCAGGTGGAATTTCTAGAAGTTCCTTGTTGCCACATTCCAAAGTGCTGTGGTAGCTCTGGGGTTTTCAAGAACATAAGTTCCTTTCAAACTCTGATTGCTTTCAAATACAGCTGCTTTCTCCCAGGCACTGGGAATTCGAGGCCCCAGAAGTTCTGAAAATTCCAAGAGGTGTCAGGCTGTTGAAATAACTGTTTTTTTTAAATTTAGGTACTACAAACTATAGTCATCAAAGTATTTATGCATTGCTTCACTTGGCACTGCAAAGCCTAAGTGAAACAGATGGCCAGCTCAGGTTTCCAAAAGTGACTCAGATACTCAGGAGCCCGACTCACACGGGAAGTCAATACCAGTTAATCTTCCAAATGTCAAATGGCACTTTTGAAAATAGCACTTTCCATTACCAGCAAGGACCTGAAAGTCTGTGCTTTTTAAATGTTTGCTTTGTACCAAGCAATACCCCGGGCTCCACCTGTCTGTGTGTCTGTTCAAAGGACGAGTGAGTGCCTGGCTAATGCAGTTTGTGCAGGCAGGTCCCCAGGCAGTCCCCAGCACTGTGCTGCTCTCCTGCAAAGGACACTCTCAGGCAGCAGGCTGAAGGTGGGGAGGAGAGAACTGAGTCTAAAGACACTCAGAATTAGCAGCACAGCTCTGGCAGTGGAGTGCAGAGACTGCAGCCTCCCCACACGAGAGCTCTGAGCTTTGGGGGTTTAATCAGTGGGTGAAGAAGGGCTGCATCAGACCAGCCTGTAATGCCAGCAGGGCATTAATCCACGGGCAGGGCTGGGGTTTCCTTTATCCCATGACAAATCACCCAGCTCTCCTCTGTCCAATCCCAGAGCATGGGCAGCTTCTGGGCTGGACAGAAACAGCTGGGACCCAGTGCACAGGGTTAAAGTGAAGGGTCTGGATCCAGGAGATCAACCACTTCCCCCTGTGGCACAGCAGACCTGAGCTGGCCCAGGCCAGAGCTCTGCTTGTGATGAAGTTCCCAGGCAGCAGCAGCTCCGTGATGCAGAGGTCACCTGAGAAACTTGCAGCACATTTCTGCTGCAAACGGGTAATTAATCAGATCAATGTCCTGCCCACAAATTGGAACTGGAGGCAGAACTGAGCTGAGTGCTTTTGGTATTTTTAACCTGGAATGTCAAGCAGAGGAATAACAGCCATTATCTCCAGTATATATCTTAGGAGAGGGAGAAGTTAGGGAGGTGATTTCTACCCACAGCAGTAAGTCTCACAGCAAAATGACAGATGAACATGGAAACTGGATTAGAGAACAGACTAGAGGGACACCAGTCCTACAGAGACTTTGAAGGTTAACTTCATACACCTTTAGGAAACTCTGGCAAGGCCTGTGAGTTCCAGACGTGCAAAGCTAGAGTTTTCAGGTATCAGCAGAAACAAACTTGGGGTTTGATATCTACACAACCTTGGACAAATGGCAAAGTGCTGTCCCTGACTGATGGCAATATGGAAACTGTACAGCCCTGTGAGTAGGAATGCACAGAAGGAAGCAAACACCAGGAATGGCACACTGCAAGCTATAAAATTATAAGTGCACAGATCTCCCTCTAATAACTTCAATCTTTAGTCTTTGTTCAGACTCTGCTGTTTTCAATACAAAGAAAGAATCTTATGGTATTAGCCCCAGGAGAAATGTGACTTTCCTTAGAAAAAGAACAACCATCATCCTTTTGTATTCCCTTTGAAGAGCAGTAATTTCAATACTTTCTTTTAAAATTTAAGTTACAACTACTTAGCAAAGAGATAATGCCTGTTGACATATCTTTCCTGCATCTAATAATCTCTTCCTCTCACTTAAACTATCTTTTTCCCTGCAGAGGATTATTATCATTGAGCTCCTTGGAGTTTTACAATAATTGAGATATTTTGGCTATTGGAGTCAGAAAGATTAAGATTTTAAAAAGAGCAGTACACAGACATGGAAGACAGAAAGTGAAATGCCCAAATCATCACTTGATTTTAATGAGAGACAAAAAACTTTTAAAGGCTTGGGAGAGGTTTTGTCTCTTCACTTCCATCCTGCTCAGAGTCCTCCTCCTCACAGCACTCCTGCCAAGCCTGAGCACTTGGTGACACAGCTAATTAGCCCCCTGCTTCTTGTTTTTCTGCAGATCCTGCCTGCTGAGACAAGGGACAGGGTCTGGTGACCCATGCACAGCTCAGTGCTAACCCACACGGCCTCTGAGCCGTGCAAAAGCCTCGGGATGTGAATCCCCAGCTCCCAGAGCAGCGTTCAGAGCAGGTTTGCAGCAGGGGAAACATGGGCAGGCTGCAGCTCCTGTCAGCTCCATGGCCAGTGCTCCAGAGCTGCTCCCTGATCCCACAATCAGCCCATGGCCAGTGTTCCCTGATCCCACAATCACCCCATGGCCAGTGTTCCCTGTCCCTGATCCCACAATCAGCCCATGGCCAGTGTTCCCTGTCCCTGATCCCACAATCACCCCATGGCCAGTGTTCCCTGATCCCACAATCACCCCATGGCCAGTGTTCCCTGATCCCACAATCACCCCATGGCCAGTGTTCCCTGATCCCACAATCACCCCCATGGCCAGTGTTCCCTGATCCCACAATCACCCCATGGCCAGTGCTCCAGAGCTGCTTCCTGATCCCACAATCACCCCATGGCCAGTGTTCCCTGATCCCACAATCAGCCCATGGCCAGTGCTCCAGAGCTGCTGCTCCCTGTCCTTCATCCCTCACACTCACTCATGCTCATCCTCTCTCCCCAAGGTGTCTCCCCCAGGATTTTGGCTGCCAGTCTCTGGTAAGAAAACTGGCAGGTGGAAACACAAAGGGCCAGAGTTGAGTTTGAAGGAGGGAAATGAGGGGGTTCTGCTGTTGGGAAGAGGGAAGTGTCCCCAGGGCAGCACAGACCAGGCTGGAGTCCTGCAAAAAGGAGTTGGGGGGCTACAATCAGCTAAAAACTCTGCAATTTCAGGGGCAAGAGCCTCAGCACTCAGTGCTTTGGAAAATTCCATCTTTCCCTGCTAAAGGTGAAAAAACCAGCAGCAACTATAAACCTAAAGGGTTTACACACTGTCCTGAATCTGATTTCAGAGATATCTGGAATAGGTCTGATAAAAAACCAAAGAGAGAAGGAGCTGTTAACAATTAGTGACTAATTACATGTGTAGATGCTTAAATGGCAGC